ATGATATTATATCATTGAATTCAAATTTAAGACCATCCATTATGTAGTGACCCACTTGTAACCTTCTGTGCAGAAGAGAACCTTTATTTTTATTATTATTATTATTATTATATTGAAATAAATCTACAATTTATAATTTTTTTTGTACAATGAGTAGTGTGTACCTAGGTTTGATAACTAATAAGTGACAAAGAAAAGTGGTTAACATGAATCATGAGATTAGGGAGAATACCCAGTGGTAACACCCTATAAAAATACCAGTAATAACAATGAAAATGTTACTAGCCTGTAGCACGATGTAGAGAAGAACTTCTCCACATCGTGCCTGGTAGCAACATCCAAGATTGATATAGGTAGTAGGTACTCAAATTGGTCAAATAAAAGTCGAGGGACTCTGTTCACTTTTTAAAAAGAGATCGCCCCCGTCATAATATATTTTATGCGTATTGCTACTTGCTGGACCGTGGGGGACCACCGAGATTAAAACTAATCAATGATAGGAAGGTATGAGAGTTAATTTTACCAGATAGAATTTTATTTAATAACTGGAGATTTAGTGAATGTCGGAGATCAGCTAAGGAATCTTAACTGAGTATTGAAGCTACAGGTGTATATAACCATGTTAGGGATGTGGGATTTTTACCAAGGAATCAGCGAACTTAAGAAATTGTCTCTGCACTCGTTCAATTTGTAGAGAGCCACTAATCGTATTGGGATCCCAGATTACACTGCCATACTCAAGTATAAATACTCCGCACAACCGCACCAAAGAGCATTATAGTATGTTTTATAGCTTATAAATGATAACATATTTCTTTTCTAACTAATTACCTAGGAACCTTGTTATCCATGGCGCTAAAAGTCTCTCCTACACAGAAGATGAATTTGCTACCTATAGCTATTGTATTAATTGTAAATTACAATTACAATTTGTAATTATTAAAATCACAATAATTATTAATGAAATAATTAATAAAATAATTATGAATTTTGATATCTGTTGGTATCTCGTGCATTTTGAAAAAAATTCAAAACAATTACCATCTTGTGCGTTCCATTTAGAAAAAAAAGTTGAGGTCTTCTAAAATGTCTGTACAATTATTTTAGCTCCTCCTGAGCCCCTCCCCCCCCAAGTAGACACATCACACATGTATCATATTATGGCCTTTACTGGCTATACTGCTATACAACTTTAATACTTACACATAAGTAGGTATGATCGATATTTAAAAAAAATTAAAATTTGAAGTTATAACAATTAATAATTATTTTGTATTTATTATTAGGACTGTTAGTAGTTTAGGACTTTATATCCATTAGTCATTACACTCATATAATATTATAAAAAGTTGTCAACTCTATATAGATATAATATTATAATATATATTATATATATATTGTACATATACGAGCACCTACCTACCTGTTTGTATTTGTTAAAAATAATTTCACAAGGAATTGGTTATTTTTTTACATTTGTTTAAGACAGAAAAAATATTGTGCTTAAAGTTTAAAATAAATAAATAATAAAGCCCTTATAATTTGTAGCATCCTATAGAAGGCCTAATGTAATAGGTATATTTCGATAATATATTAATATGTATATCGTAGCTATAGGTAAATAGTTTATAGGTAGGTAATAGCGATTAACATAGCCCATAGGTATTGTTTTAGCCGATAACCGACGGGTGTTTTGGTAAATAAACTATAAAGTATTAAGTGCTTAACCAAATCACGCCTTTAGGCGGGTTTCCACTATACACGTACACGTTCACGTGCATACAAATCATTTGCTGTGATTGGTTGGTTATGTTAAGTTACCACACGATTAACCACGATACCGTGTTGTTGGACATAGCTGAACATTTTTCGTGTACACGGCAAACGTGTATAGTGGAAACCCGCCTTTTTACTTATTACAATTATGACCTTAATCTTGGATTCCTCTAAAGATTCGTCATTGATTATTATACGTTGTGTTTACAAATCATTTATGACTTGTGGGCTGTGGGTGACTACTGACTAGTAACTACACAAATAAACGGAGCAAAATATTATTGCGTACTTACCTATGAATACAATTGAGCGTCCGCCAACAACGAAGTTGATTTTAAGTAGAACCATTAAATGTCACCATTTGTTATATAGGTACGACTACATTAAATCAATTGAAAAAATGCTTAAAAATGTGAACGATGTTTTAGGACTCGTTTCAATGAACACATACGTCAAAGTTTCAATCGTATCTATATTACGAATTTGTTTCAAAAAACACAAACACCATAATTTTACTCAAAGACGTTACCGGCATAGTCAAGTACAAGGTAGGGTATGTTTATTATTTTTGTTAAGCCATAACATAATATACTGTATAAGAATAATATTATCATAGATAAATATAATAGATTTATTTTAGGGATGTTAAAATATTATGTAAGAAATAATTAACTTGGTATAGATGAGGCTGTTTATTTGACCTCGAACTCGCTATAGATTATAGGTACCTACTAAGATTATCTATCCTCCCATTGGCACTATACTTACGTTTGAGTAACGTGTATTTATATACAATTGTATTGGAGTATACTTACAATCTATGGTGGACTTAAAATTGTTCATTATTTATCACGTAAAAATATTCCCATATGAAATACGAATAAACCTATATCCTATGGTACCATAGGATATAGGTGCAAATTTGGGGGGGGGGTGCTTAGCCTCTATACATTTATATTTATGAATATAAATATCTACTTCATTATAGACACAAAAAGTGTTTAACATTTGAGGGGAGAGACTGAAGCTCAGGTCTATACACTATACTGGGTACTCTCATCTTGCTTTTACGTCATAAAGCGTACAAGTCATTAGTTTTAGGGGGCTATAGCCACCCAGCTGAGCTCTGCTTATATTTACGCCTATATATACCTATTGAATATTTGAAAATTGATTATTGAATATTACGTGAGTCAAACTTTAAGTGCAAAGTTAATAAACAATTTGGGTTTTCGAATATTTACTCTTAATCTGTTTAAGTTCTATTGTTGAATATGTAAGTGCGCAAATGATATAGGTAACTACGATAATTTGACGTAGGTAATAAGATAAACAGGTGATGCGCAAACGATATGCATAATCTAAAAAGGTGATCTGCTGTACAGTAGGTTACAAGTGGGTCACTGTATAATGAATGGTATTAAATTTGAATTCAATAATAAAATATCATTGTACAAGAAAAACGATTTTGAGCGGAGACGGTATGTCAGTCTAGGTTTAAGCCATATTATATACATATCAATGGTAATAAAAAAAAATGCTCAGTCTTATCATTGAGCATACTTCTTATTCCTTATGGCTTATACTATGGTAGATTGTATGTATAGGCCATAATATTTTGATTTTTTGATTTTTCAGTTTTATATATCTCCGAATAATATTTTTAAAATACAACAAAATACCAAAATCGTTAATATTGATTTTAATAAGTAATTTCGTCCAAATTTGAAATTAAAATGACTATAAAAATAAACTGTGCTTGTGTATTTTTTAGATTTTTTGGTAACAGAATTAACTACTTACATGTAATCTTGTTTTAAACTTTCAATCCTTAGATATAAAAGTTGACATTTTATAAATTTTTAACTACAAAATAATTATTCAATTTTAAATTTGATTAATTTTGTCAAAATTCGATCTTTAAATACCTACTTATAAAAAAAAATTGTGCCTATGTATTTTTAATATTTTTCAACTCATATTGTAACAATATATCAGGAGCCTTGTATTAAATTTTTACACTTTTTGGCCCCACAGATAAAACTTTCTTGATATTTATACAATAAAAAACTAAAAAAATTGAAAACTGAAAATGTCCGTAAACAGCTCAAAAAGAGACGAAATATTTTCAAAATTGTACAGTGTATAGGAAATGCTAATCTGAACATTCAGTGAAATTTTCATGTATCTATAGTTATTCGTTTTTGAATTACAACAAAATAAGGAAATCGCTACATGAGAAATCGAGTGAATATCCAATGTTGTAAAAATTGAATTTCAAACGCTCATAAAAATTTAATTTGACTTTCTTATAGACATTTTTTTTTTGATAAAGGTAGATAATTTTATAATGAATCTTGTATTACATTTTAAAATCTTAGATCTAAAAAGAAAAATTTTTACGAATTCTTAACTCAAAATAATTTGATAAATTTCGTGATTTTTCCATAAAAAATCGAAAAAAAACTCCCACAAAAATTTGCTGCCCGGAGAAATTAACCTCCTAAATACGCCACTGAACGGGCTTGGATAATAATAGAAACTTAAATTTGCAGTGATAATAACAAGGTTGCAAATAATATTACCGTTGGGCGTTGTGGCGTAGAAATGTAGAATAGTACTTAGAATCACACTATACTACCAACCATAGAAAGTACTAACTACTAACTACTAAAATGAATATTAATATTATGTAGGTAGGTTATATAGTTAAGTAGGTATATAGGTGGGAAAACAATAATTGAGAACCAGTTATATCACCACCACCACGGTTTAAGATTCTCCATCAAAGAACGATAATTGCTATTATCTCAAATCTCAATTTTTAATAATATTACTCGTATTATCACAATCACAATCACTGAGTTATTTGTCTTCTGTGTTATTACTTTTTTCATAATATTAATTGTCATTTGTCAACATTGTCGGGTTGTCGCGCAATATTGCGTATTATGAGATTTAGCTTGTTTAAGTTCAACTCAACTTAGTCAATACTCAATTTCTAATACTCAAGTGGATACAATTGATAAAAATCTCATCGTGAGATTTACAATTCTCAATTCTACTCTCGAGTGGCAATTCTCGTTTCGTTCAGTTATTTAAATCTAACTTTCGCTGCCCGTGCACGTCGGACGCATACCTATTACCCCACTTTACCCTATATTTGATTGTGGATTCTGTATTTTTGGAGCATATTGATTAAAAAAACATTACTGTAAATTATAATGTCTCCGTGTATTGAAGAAGCAAACAAAAAGACCGTCGGCATCATTGGTTGTGGGGCATCTGGTTTGGCGGCTTTGAAAAATTTTGCAGCTGACGATTCGCTGTTCAAATGCGTGGCGTTTGAACAGACGGCCAGCATTGGAGGTACATGGGTGTACACAGACGATGTCGACCGAGACCAATACGGCTTACCAGTTCATTCCAGCATGTACAAAAGCCTGAGGTATATAAGTGAAAAATTTGAGATTGTTTGTTAGGAATCTAACCTGTCATATTATGTACATACGTTTTAACATGTTTCCCATACTATTAGGTCAAACTTGCCAAAAGAAATTATGGAGCTAAGTGGATTTCCACATACAGGTGTTGGGGATGCTTGCTACTTTCCAGCTGCATACATACAGAAATATCTGAATGATTTTACTGATCATTTTAATTTAAGACCACATATTAAGGCAAGTCAAATAATACTGTCTGAAATAAAAATAATATTATATTTATTCCACGTTAATATTATTAGGTTTTTTTTTTATGTATAGTTTCATCATCATGTAGAAAAAGTAAGACCTATCAATAATAGTCAATGGGAATTAAATGTTATAAATTTACAACAACAAACTAAAGAAACTTTCATCTTTGATGCATTGGTGATATGTGTTGGGTAAGTGATATTAGACATACCCAATGGTTTTTAAAACAAATAATTAATACCTATGATTAACATTTTTCAAAGATTTTTATTTTATGTAAGGATATTATTATTATTATTATTAATTTATTTCTCAAGATAAGAATACTTATATAAATAACACTAATATACTAATATATATATTAATTAACTAATATATTATTTTATTGCCAACTATTTACCTACTTGAATACTTCTCTATACTATTATTCATTCATTTAAAATTATTGGCTATACCTAATTTAATTTTATGACTATATAGTACTAATTATAATATATAATATGTTTTGTATTGAATTTCTGTTCTATATTTTTTATACTAAATCAAAGTTTATTTTGTTTAAAAATAAATAAATAAGTTTTTGCAAAAATTTCATTAGAATTTGTAAAATATATTATATTATATATTTATACTGTGAAGTGATTTACCTACTTAAACATGTTCATATTCTAGTAATTATAGCAATCCCGCTATTCCAGATGTTAAGGGTTCCAACATATTCGGTGGGAAAATCATGCATAGTCATAGCTATAGAGATGCAGATTCATTTAAAGGAAACTCGGTGTTGGTCATAGGCTGTGGTGCATCTGGCCTAGATATATCGTTTGGCGCATCAAAAGTAGCAGACAAGGTAACCTTTAAATTTATATTTAAAATGACCTATTATTTATTAATAATTCAAACATAATTTTAGGTTTTCTTGAGTCATCATAATCCTCGACTATTGAATTTGAAAATTCCATCTAATTATTTCCATAAAACCGATGTTAAAGAAATTGTTGAAGATGGTGTTATTTTTCAAGATGGCTCTTATGAAAAAATTGACACTATAGTATACTGTACAGGTAAGTTAAAGCTTTAAAAGTATTTATTTTAACCCATGTTATTTCTTGATTTTGTTTTCTAGGATATACCTATAAATATCCATTTTTAAGTAGCGAATGTGGAATAAAAGTCGAAGACAATGTCATTAAAAATCTATTTAAACATATGATTAATATTGAATATCCAACAATGGGTTTTATTGGTGTACCTAGGAACACTACAGGATTTTACTTATTTGATCTTCAGGTAATTTAAAAATACATATTTCACTCATCTAATATTTAATAATATTCTATTTTCAGTCCAGGATTTTTAAAAAGATCTTAGAAGGTAATGTGAAAATGCCTAATAAAGAAGAAATGCTTCAAGATACTTGTAAAGAAATTGAGGCTCGATTGGCTGGTGGTCAGAGATTAAAGGATCTTCATGCTTTGGGTAAAACTAAGTGGGCCATGGAGTATTACACTTCAGTTTCAAAATTTGCCGATGTAGAACACCCTCCACCAGTGTTATTACAAATATATTTTGATGGTATTGGAAGGCTTTCAGAAGATTTTTTGAACTTCCGAGGTGATAAATATCAAATTATTGATAGAGAACATTATAAGGTACAATATTTTGACCAAAATGAATCAATTATTAAAAAACAAATTTTGTATTCTTTTTAAAACAATTAAAATTTAAAATTATATTTTGTTATATATTTTTTTTAGAGTTCTAATTTGTTACCTTGTTTTTTCATTGATGTTATTGTATAAATATATAGTTTTATATAGTCTATTTAAGTATAAAAATATATTTCAAGTATCATGCTATTTGTAAGGGTCTTATAACCTGATTAAATATTTAAACAAAACCGTGATTGTCTATTTTGCGTTGATTTAAAGAAAATATATTATCTACTAAGTACCAACTTGTGGATATCAACTATAAGTTATAACCATTTATAAATTAGTTATAATTAATCTGTTGATAAAACATTATTGATTTTATAAAATATGTATCCATGTTAACCAAGAATACATCATTGTCATAGTTATATATTTTTTATACTATTGTTATCAAAATGTTCTTGTGATGTTAATACAATTTTAAAAATTATACCTATTAAAATACTGTTTCAAAGTAATTTAAAAGTGATCCCATATTTGTAGCATTACTAGGTATTGCATAAATGCCAAATTATATAAATACCTAAATCAGTAAAAAATTCCAGATTGTGTGATTTATTTAGTGTTGGGTAGTAACGTAACGTGTTACTTTGCTTGTAACGTGTTATGTAATTTCATTAGAATTATTTCCAAGTAACGAAAATGTAATGGAAATTACTTTTGAAAAGTAATTTGTATAGAATAATGCGTTACAGTTTTGAATTATTAAGTACTTACCTATAGGTATACCTATTGCAAATTGAAAAAAATATATGTATAATGGGGGTATTATTATATTTACCAATCTAATATTATGTATATAAATTTAAGTTTAACTCGGCACAATTCATGGTTTTCAATGGTTTTGACATTTGAAATGTCTAATTGCACGAAAAATCACGAAAACAGTTAATTAAATTTATTATTTAATTTCATTCCTTTAAATAGGTTTCCTGTGAATATAGCTTGTGTGGAAGACTACATTTTATATGATCCTATTAACTATACAGGTTTTATAAAGAATTTGTTTGTTGAATTTGCCTGCAGAACATAATTGCCAAGAAATTAAATAAATTGTTTATTTTTGTAACAATAAAGTAATTAGTTACTTTTCTATTTGAAAAGTAAAGTAATTTCATTGCAATTTTATTTGAGTAACGAGTAAAGTAACTTATCCAACGCTGGATTTATTATACTAATTGTTTTATGTGTCGGCATATATTGAAACATACAAATTGTGGTATACTTATAAGTTATAAATGCAATAAGAGATAATTCATATTCTCCCCAAAAAGTAATTCATTTTTATTTAAATTATAATAAAAATTTATATTTTAGGAAAAGTTTACTTAAGTAGATCTGAAGCAGATCTTACTTATTTGAAATCTAGAGAAAAACTGATACACCTTAAATGAACATTTTCATAATATTATATCAGCAATAGAAAATTCTTTCTCAAAGTATTGTAGGTACTTTATGCATAGTGTATTTCAGAATACAATTGATGATTTTTTAGAAAATAATTAGCTTTTTACTAACATTTTCATGTGATGAACATAAAAATGAAATACTGATGTTCATTCTCAGGTATTATATTACAACAAAGATGAGACAATTTTCAAACATGAAAAAAAAAATCAAAACAAAATAAATTTGAAAAAGAAAAATATTCTGCTAAATTAGTCATTAGGTACTCATTAGTCATTACTTATATATATAATATTATATACTAATAGTATTTTCTGTTGCTACGTCTTATACTCTTATTATAGTTATTATTATAAACTATTTATTGTTATTGAGAGTAGCTATTTTTATTATTATGAGCTTAGTATTGAACGGTGGTATGTAGTTTACTTTTACTTTAGTGTTTTAGTGTTTATCTAAAAATAGGGAATTTAGATTTGACCGATTTGGGACTATGCGTGTAGTACGAAAATTTGGATATTTCAGGGACTGGTTTTATCTATTTTCTATGACTGGTACTATCAAATTAACTATTAAGAATGCAAACACACACATTTTGAAAAATAATTTCAAAACATCGCTTGGGAGCTAAACGGCATTCGTTCCCAAACTACATTAATATATTATGATCTAAAGTTGCAGCATTGTTGGTGGGTTTTTTACTTTAAAAGTTGGCAATAATGAATTTTTATTTTTTATTCTTATCACTCCGACTCCAGGAGATCTACCATATCAGCATTCGGCATTCACCGTGTTACATTATTTCACGGCCGACATGTGGCCGCGTCCCATGCTCCCGATTCTCATACTGTTCTATAGTCCATGATATAGACTCCAGAACCGTAAACAGTTTACAGTTGTGTTGACATAACTATTGTTCTTTCATTCATGTCTGACGTGTTGATAGCCACTTTGAATACATAATGGTACGGCACAATAATCAGTTGCCAAATAATTTACCACAGCTCCAAAATCTTATAAAAAGGGATCCAGCATCATATAAGGATGAAGTAAGTTTAAAGAAATTCACTACTTACCTACTATGATTAATATTGAAAACGCAAACTTTTTTTATTTTTTAGTTCTTACAACAACAACGCCATTATAAGTCACTATTGGCAGTTTTCACATTGCGCCCAACAGATTTCAATAAAAGTCTTGATGAACTGGTAATGTTTATGGCCCAGGTAGCTCATTGCTATCCTGGTGAATTGGCCACCTTTGCACAAGAACTCACAAATATGTTACAGACACACGGACCTGTTCTAGATAAAGATATGCGAATGGTAATTAATAGTTATTAATAATGATAAATAATAACTTTAATTTCAATGTATTTATATTCTCAGACATTTTGCCGAGCTTTAATATTGTTACGTAACAAGCGATTATTGACACCTACAGATTTGCTTTCACTATTTTTTGGCTTACTCAGATCACAGGATAAGGAATTGAGAAAATTTTTAGAATCACATATAGTTTCTGATATTAAGAACTTAAATTCAAAACATAAAGATGCCAAGTTGAATCGAGTAAGTGTTATAAAAATAATACTTAAGTTATGAACAAATGTAGAATGTATTTATTGTTTTTTTTTTTAGAATCTTCAAAATTTCATGTACACTATGCTCAAAGATAATAATGCTAAGGCAGCTAAAATGTCTTTGGTGAGTATAACATAAATTGGATACCTAATTGGAGGTTAAATATTAATGTAATATTGCAATAATATAATAAGGTTTTCTATTTAAGGGTATAATGGTTGATTTGTACAAGAAAAATATTTGGAGAGATACAAAGACAGTGAATGTAATATCAACAGGTTGTTTTTCAAAAATTACCAAAGTTATGGTTGCTGCATTAAAATTTTTTGTAACTGTGGATAATAATGATTCTTCAGATGATAGTGATTCATCAAGTTCTGATGATGTAAATATTTTTCAAATTATATATTATATTGTTCCTAAAAACACTGACGTTTTTAAAATTATTATTAAAGGACACACCAAATACTAGAGAAGTGATTATGGCAAATAAAGTGAGCAAAACAACAAGAAAAAGAACAAAAAATTTAAAAAAAGTTAAAAGATTAGTTGAGGTATGTATTTTTGTATCTTATCAAATGAACTAAAAATTATGTTTTATTTGTATTCATAAAAATGTCATTATAAAACAACTCAATTATATTATTTCAGAAAAATAAAAAGAAGAAGAATCAAAAACAATCGTCTAATTTTGCGGCTTTGACATTAATACATGATCCTCAAGGGTTTGCAGAGAAGTTATTTCATCAATTAGAAAAAAGACATGAACGATTTGAAGTGAAAATGTTAACATTAGATGTAGTGTCACGTTTAATTGGTTTACACCAATTAATAGTTTTCAATTTTTACCCTTATATCCAAAGGTTCCTACAACCTCACCAAAAAGGTTATTATATACGTTTTGTTTTTCTCATAAAATCATAAATATTTATTTATTTTTATTTATTATTTAAAAATTGGAAATTAAATAATATATTCATATTAGTTTAAATTTATTTGAATGGTTATGTGAGGCTACCTTTTATTTATTTTGATATTTTTACTGTAATTTACTTTAATTTTCTAGAGGTAGTACGAATGATGCAATTTGTTGCTCAGGCATCGCATGAAATTGTTCCACCTGATGTTTTAGAACCTGTGTTACGTGCTTTAGTCAATAATTTTGTTACAGAAAGAAATTCATCTGATGTTATGGCAATTGGGTAAAGTTTGAAATTAAAGAATTAATTTTTAAAATAGCATTTAATGTTTTATGTATGTTTTTTTAGGTTAAATGCTATTCGAGAGATGTGTACAAGAGCCCCGTTAGTTATGACTGAAGATTTATTAAGAGATCTTGCTCAATACAAGAATTATCGTGAGCGTAGTGTCATGATGGCTGCTAAGTCATTAATACATGTTTATAGATCTTCTATGCCACATTTATTGCATAAAAAAGATAGGGTAAGTTTTTTTTTTTATAAATTGTATTACATTTATATTATTTAAGCATGGTTATGTTATTATATTATCCAGGGAAGACCTACCGAAGCATCATTGGAAATTGTGGCAAGAAAATATGGTGAAGTGGATGCAAAAGAGTTTGTATCTGGTGCTGAAATACTTCTAGATACAGAAAATAATGAGTCCGCTGATGATTCTGATGAGTCAGGTGATGGTGAATGGGTGAATGTTAGTCATTCGGAGAATGAAATTAGTGATGATGAAAATATAGATGGTGAAGATGAAGATGAAGATGTTAATGATAGTGATGATGATAACGAGGACATAGAAAATACTTCTGATACTGAGGGTATAAATGACACAGATCAAAGTATTTCCACTCAGAACTCAACAACAAAAAAAAAGAAAGTAATATCTAAAAAAGAACAATTGGCTGAAAAGAAAGAAAAAGCAGCACAAGTTAGTTCTATGAGAATTTTATCAGATGAAGATTTTAAACGTATAGAAATTGCTCAATTAAGCAAACAGATGACATCTGCTAAAAATCGCAAAAGACCTGCTGAA